GGGTTTGGGTCTTGGGTTTAGGGTTTGGGGATTGTAGGCTTCAGTTGAGTTCTAAGGGGTGTTCCATGCTTTGAAAGGCTGGTTCTTGGGTTTAGGGTTTGGTCTTAGAAACCCCCAACCAAGGCCCTAAACCCTAAACCCTAAACCCAGGTAAGGATCCTAAACCCCAAACCCTAAACCAAGAGATCCTGCATCTGGCAGGGAGCGACCCGAAAGCATCCTTTACGAAGGTCCTTATCCCTAATACCCTCCACTGTAAAACCTGACCCAAATACGCAAAGCCATCAAGCGAAATCCTGAGACTTAAGCCCTGAACCCTCCGGAAGCCGAGGACACGAACTTTTGGTATCACATGGTATTTCTATAAGGGGCCATCGGGCAAACTAGTTATCTCTCTTCTTCAACAACCAGGCACAAAAAAGTTCAAACTTTTTGGGATAGACCGAATCTATACAGCCAAAAAGCTTCAAGTTCTCCCATTGGCTATCTATGCTTAAACCCGATTGCAGGAGGCCTCATTCCCATTTTGCTGGGCATCTTGGCAGCCACCGAGGCTTTTCCTGAAGGCAGGGTTTGGGTGTTTGGGCGTGGTTTGGGTGTTGTAGGGTGGTTTTGGGGGGTTTTGGGGTTTTGTGGTTTAGCATTTAGGGTTTAGGGTTCCTTTGGGGCCCTTTTTTTATCAACCCTAAACCCTGAACCGTTCATTCGGGAAGCTCATGGCTCTGGGTGTTCAGCGTTCTGGGAGGCGTTCGGCCCTTCGCCTTTGGGCCATGATGTTTCGGGTTTTTGGTTTTGGGTTCAGGGCTTAGGGATTAGGGCTAAGGGTTTCGGGCGTCGGGTCGAGGGTTTAGGGTTTAGGGCTTAGGGCTTAGGTTTAGGGTTAAGGGTTTTGGGTTTTGGGTTTTGGGTTTAGGGTTTAGGTTTAGGGTTTAGGGTCCGGAAGAGTGGAGAGGTGTTCCAGACCGGAGCTCGGGTCACGGGTTTGCGGGTTTAGCGTAGGAGCCGCAATAAATAGAATAGGGCTCCTTTTAATGATTAAAGCGATCTGTAAAGGGGACACTATAAGGGCTACTGCTTGGGCTCTAAACTAGGAGCCTTACTGATCAGAATAGGGCTTTGGGGTATATTATACAAAATATTCAAAAGGAACCCCCCAAAATAGTATAGGTAATCACTTAGGCCCCCATATTAGGACCCCTCAAGGAGGGAGCCCCGATGTCTCCCAACCACCCAAAAAGCACCGAAAGGACAACCTCTGCCGAGAAAACCCTAAGATCGCTCCAAAAACTACGAAAGTTATACCATGAAGGGGTCATGGCCTACATAGGGTTTACCGGGACCCTCAATAACTTACCTTTTGAAGGACTTGTATGAGGAACTCATAATGAGGAGCCCAACAAATGTAGGTCCCGTAGGTAGGATCCCTAAACCCCAAACCCTAAACCCTAAACCCTGGGGGGGAAATGAAGACCCTTGCCGCCAAGAGGCCCAAAGTGGGATCGCCTGTAGCCATGATCTTCGCCACCTCTCAACATCTCCAACAGCCCCTCATTAAGCATCAAGGTTTAGGCTTCAGGGGTGTAGGATGGGCTTTAGGTTTGACAATGGGCTTTTGGAGGGTTTGGCAGACGAAAAAAGACTTTCTTTGCCAGAACCTGGAGCGGATACCGGCACAACACCGCGAACCCAAACCCTAAACCATAGGTGTCAGCGTGAGTGTTAGAATCAGAAAACAAGGGACCCGAGTTTGAACCCCCGAATAAGCAGGAACCCCATGACAAGTAGCTCTAGACAAGTAGCTCTAAACTAGATCACTTGCCCCTAACTTCTGTCCTACCCTAAACCTGCAACCCTAAACCCTACACCCTCAACCCCACACCCTAAAGCCTAAGCCCTACCCTACGCTCTAAACCCCCAACCGCAACCCTAGCTAAAGGACTTCCGACCTTCGGTAAAAACAAGCGACCTTCGGTAAAAACATTCGAACGCGACATCCCAGCCACAACTGTTCGGAGCCGCAGGACCATCAAACCCTAAATCCTGAAGAGTTCAGGGTTGAAAGGAAAGCCAAAACTGTAAGGGTCTAAGACCCTGAAGGGTTTAGGGGTAGTCCTAAGCCCTGTGTTCTTCGGGCACGGAAGCACAGAAACCCTAAATCTCGCAGTAGTCGTAGTAGAAGTAGAAGTAGAAGTAGAAGTAGAAGTAGAAGTAGTAGTAGTAGTAGTAGTAGTAGTAGTAGTAGCAGTAGTACCAGGAGCAGTCGTAGTAGTAGTAGTAGTAGTAGTAGCAGT